GGGAGGTCACAGAAAAAGAAGTTGATGTGATTATCCTCACAGAAGGAGAGGGAGAAGGTGCATGTGGTGCGCAGGATGGACCCTGACACCCCACAGACGTAGGCGCCCACCACCAAACTCCAGCAGATTCTGGGCTTCATGGCCACAGTATAGAGCAGCGGGTTGCTAATAGCGACATAGCGGTCATAGGCCATCACGGCCAGCAGGAAGCACTCTGTAGCTGCACAGACGGTGAAGAAGAAGAACTGGGCAGCACACCGGGCATAGGAGATGACCGTTTTGCCTGAGGCCAGTGTGGCCAGGATCTGAGGGGTGATGACCGAGGTGTAGCAGGCATCCAGCAGGGCAAGGTGGCTCAGGAAGAAGTACATTGGGGTGTGGAGCTGGGCGTCCACTCGGATGAGAATAACCATCCCCATGTTCCCCAGAAGTGTGATGAGGTAGAAACTGAGAAACACCAGGAAGAGGGGAATCTCCAGGTTGGGGTGGTCAGTAAAGCCCATGAGCATGAACTCTGCTACTGAGCTGAGATTATTGTGAGCCATGTACTCACTGTGGACTGCAGCTCAGAGGATGAGAATAAAGTAAAACAAGGATCCCAGAAGCTAAGGGAGAACTTTTCTCGATGGTAGAAGTTAAGGTGATAATTCTGGACCTATTTACAGATGTTTTTCAGAATACTGGAACTGGCCAATTCTCCTTGGGCTTCTCCTGTATATTACGGAGCTGAGCCTGGAGCTGGTGCTTCTGATTCAGATTAATTCTGGTTTACATTTGGACACTGCTGTGAAGATAAGGTGCAGATGATTCTCAGGGTTAGAGGGACCAAGAACACATCTACGGCTTCTTATCTGGGTCTGGAGTCTCCTCCACCGCACACCCACCACCAGGCCCTCTGGTTGCTATGGAGCCTCCCTCTGTGCTCGGTTCCCTTGGTAAATTTGTCAGGAACTACAGTCTGCCTCTGTATCTTCCCGGCTTTGACCTTGATTTTATCCCTTTCAGGTACAATGATTTTAATCCCATTTTCTCATGAAAGCCTTTCAGAAGTTGGAAGATGATAAATCCAATCTTCATTTTGATTGCTCCCTCATAGCATGCATTGATATATATTTTCTTATCATTACATGATTATTTGTGTAGGCACACAGAAACTAGTCAGTATTAATATCCAGAAATTTTTTTCTCTCTGCTTTAACCCATACCATTCAAGTTTAAAGGCCATCAGCTGTCAACTGTCATCATCAGCTGTCACGAGAAAAGAGAAACTGTGATGGTGAAAAGGGAAAAGCGAAGGGAACAGTGAAAAAAAAATTTATATATATACACCCAAGACAGTTAAGGTAGTTATACAACTAGTTTCTCTTAGTTCACTGAAAAGAAAGGTTTGTGCTAATATCTTTTGACAATATCTTATTCTTATATCTTGCACTCTGAATAGCTACTATGAAGACAACAATACACAATATATTAATTGTTGTTACTCTCCTACTAGCCTGTTTTAAATGTTTTTATTTTTATTTTACTTTTTTCTCTTTTTTGTAAATGGCAACATCAGATAAGAGGGAGTTTTGTCTTCATTTAGTTACTTTTTTCTCTTTAAAATAAAATAAAAAATAAAGACCATCATCTTTAGTATACTGTCTTTTAAACTTTTTTGTTTATTATGCCTTGATTCTATATAGTTTCTTCCACCTCATGGTCTAGTAACCATTTAGCTATGTGCTCTAGGCAAGTTACTTGCCTCCTTGTGCCTCAGTTTCTCTTCCATAAAATGGAAAAGGTATGGCTATACCACAGAGTTGTTTTGAATATTAAGTAAGTTAATACTCTTAAGTGAGATAGAGCTGTGCTTAGCACACAGATATAGTTAAATAATGTGGGCTATTATTATCACCAATTCTAGGTAGAATCTGTTGACTTTCTATTCTGAAAGGCAATGTATTTCTGTCATGTAAACTTTGCCATATTGTTATCTGTACCTTTTCAAATAATATACTTGTCTCTCTTGATATAAATATAGATGATATAGAAATATCTATATGTGTTTCAATAATTGAGTAAGTTTGGAATCTAAGGAAGACATTGAAAATACTTCCTTAATCTTTCTTCCTTCATCCTTCCCACACCACTTTTTGAAAATCTCAGTCCTTTATCCCATCCATGTAATAATGCTTCCTATTCTAGTTAATTCTTTTACATTTTCTCTATGGGTTATGAAAAATGTAAGCCATACTTCCCTATTGTGATTACATATGCAGTGTGTACCAAAAAAATGCAGTGAATTTTAAATTTTTAAAGTTTATGATGAAAGATACATTGCCCTGAATCCCTTTCAAAAGGCTCCCCCTTGCTTTGAACGTGCTCATCCCATAATTCTTGACACTTTCTCAAGCAGTTCTGCAAGTTCTCTTTCATGAGTGTCCTTAGCTGTGCTATCACGGGTGTCTCAATGTCCTGAATTAACTAAAAACGTTTAACTTTTGTCGTCATTTTGACTTTGGGGAAGATACTGAAGTTGCATAGTGTCAGACTGAGTGATTAAGGTGGATGAAGACACAGTCTTATATTTTTATGAGCTACCTTTCCATTGGATAGCAGTTAGCAGAAGCATTCACCATATTTTTAATCACATCTTGTAAAGATACTCAGAAGAAGGCTTCCAGAATTGCTTCAGAAATGGCAAATAGGAAGGGATAAATGTGTTCAATGCAAGGGATGGTGTGATTTTCAAAGGATTTAATGGTAATGTGTATTTACTGTAACATTTTTTTAAAACTTTAAACATACACCATATTTTTAGTGAACCCTTTTACATGCCATACAATAAAGGACCAAATAATGTGATTCCATATGCAGAAGAAGAAATGTCACTACACTTCTGTTGCTTCCAGGAGATGCTTTCCAGCATCATGTGGAAGAGACGCTCTTTTCTTGTACTTTACCAATTGCTCAGGATAATTATATCTACTGTGCTTTATATGTGAGTCACGGTAACTTTCCATTTCCTGAGACTTCTTCCCATCTGGCATGGATCTGAGTCACAACACATGACTGTGTGCTTGCGGCTCACCATTTCCCAAGTCCATCAAGAATCCCCATTAGAGGACCTAAGGGCCAAGAGATCCTGAGGCACTATTGCACGGAAGCCCGGATTCATAGCTTCTCTTTAAAAAGTACCTCTCCTGCTCTAGAACTTTCTACATACAATATCTTATAGATTCTGAGCAACAACCCTGTAGCACAGACAGACATCTCTCTTCTAGAACGTCCCACAAACAATATCTTATAGATTCTCAGCAACAATTCCACTGAAAGGAACTTTACTTTTATTTGTGGATGAGAAACTAAGATCACACAGGTAAAACTATCTGTTGGCCAGACAACCACAAGTCCTGACTCCAGTACCCAACACTGCTCTCCCTGAACCATTGTCCTGGCCTCCTACTACTACACTCCAAATCCCCTCAGGTTAGAATTTTCTAACGTGGAGTCCTTGAATCTATCCCTAATCCCAATAATATTAAAATTACATTAGTAAGAAATTATCATCCATTGCCACAGTAGGAATTTTATTTGCTGTAGGAACAAGAAATTGTCGGTTTTTTTCATAAAATCCATTGTAATAAAATCACTCATTCTTTATAAATTCTTTCCTATCTTTTTATACTCATAAATATGTGTGCCTGCTTCCACACCTCTGAGAACTGGATGTGACTGACGTAGTTATCATTTTGGTGATAAATAATTGACATACAGCGAAGTCACTGACTTGCTCCAAAGCCAAAAAAATTTCTTCAAAACTAGAAATAGCAAGCATATAATCTGGCTTCCATATGAAACCTTTTGTACTTACCTCTCACCTGATTGCCCAAGAACCCACTGGTAACAGGTTCTGAACTTGTGATGAGGCCCCCAAAAACCTGGGCATCTATCAGACGTGGCAGCCATATTGGTTCCACACAGGTTCACGGAAGGGCAGGGGAAGCTGCTTGTGAGTCCAGAGCTTCCTCCAGCTCTAGTCAGGGGCCGCTGGTGGGAAGAACACACTGACATCACACACCACATGCCCTTCTCGGGCCGTTCAACCCCTCTGCTGCAAGGTCCAGGGATGAGTAAGCCTCTCAGAGGCCCTCGGTATTGTTCCAGCTCCATGGTGTCCATCCCTACCAGGGGTCCTAACTAGCTAGGAATCGTCTGATGTTTACTTCCTCTCCTTGGGCTTCACTTCCTGTTCTTAAAAATAGTGGCAATGGCCTACATAGTCACTTGGATTCTTTTGTCTCTCACAACCCATGCTTTGTATGTTGAGGTATAGAGGCTAAATGAGGATGTTGAAAAGGTGCTCCTAATAGCATAGAATTATAAAGGTACACACTTTTAGCCACTGAGTACTGAGTACATGAAACATGGAGGCTCTGTCTCAGTGACTGATGTTACTTAAACATAATATCAAGGGATCTCAGGTCCAAAATTAAATAAATCATACTCTCCACTTCTTGGTCAGAATCATCATTAGCAGTGCTCTTTCTTGCCTAGTTTTATTAATTCCCTGCTTCTCCCCCATCCCCACCACTTCCCTTGTCTTTGTTGGTACCCACTATAATGTATTCAAAATAGGTATGTTCCATGTCATATACATTTAGAAATAGATGCATTGTTTAAAACACTGTGTTTTGGTGTGCTTTGAAATTTACATACATGATGTTGTGATATACACCCCCACTTTCTTTTTCTACATCCACTATACTTTTGTGATTTATCTATGTAATGTAGGCAAGTCTAGTTTGTTATTTGTAATTTTATCATAGTCATTATTTGGTTTGCCACAGCATATTTAATTTAAATACCCTGTGAAAGATTGCAAGTATTTTACATGTATTATCTTATTTAATCCTAAAAATAACCCACTAGGTGGTTATTATTATCAGTTTGTAGGAAGAAAGATTTAAAACCCTAAGAGCTTATTTCCTCTGAGATTACCAGTGGAGGTGGCAGAGTTGGTTGATGACAAATTCTGTGCTATTTTCTATCTCCCTACATTTTACTGCATATTTATGATTTATAGACTCAAGAAAATCTCCCCGCTGTTAATCAGATGTGAGAATTTGGCTAACTTCAACATCTTTCTCAGCATCTAACACTGAAATTGTCAAAGTCCATTGGTGTCTGTCTCATAGCTAGTTCCTGGGGTTACCTCTGATCAAGGACAAAATTGTTCAGAGCACCTGACCAGAGGTGAGGTGGCAGACGTGGGGGTCCAGGTGCAGCCCGACTGGGTTTGTGCCGTGTGCACACTGTCCTATCTCATTTTAGCCCTAATCCTTCCTGTGACCCTGCAAGATGGGAATAAACATGCTTATTTTAGAGATGAACAAAATGAAACCCAGAGAGGTTAAAGATGTTGTCTAACCTGCTACTGTACACACCTATGAAGGAACAGAACCAACATTTGAACCCAGGACTCTAACTCCCACTTCTGGACTCTACATAATCTTACCTTCTTAGAAGAAAAGTATGTTTGCTGCAAATACAAGCCCAAGCT